AACCCTTTTCGGTTTTGTAAGAGACACCTAAAGGTTTTCTAAAATACGAAAAAGGTTTTAGAAAGTACAAAAACGGTTTTCTAAATAGTTTTAAAAATCTTTTGGGGTTTAGTACAAAGAATGAAAAACCTTTTTTGCCTATTAAACCCATTTTTAAATTTCTATAAAATACGCTTTTTTTTAGAGAGTACTAGTTGCTTTTTCCGTACTTTCGTAGTTGTTTGTATTTCGTTGTAATCTGAGTTTTGTTGTAGCATTGAATTGTTTCAATAAATCAGTTATACATTGATTTTTGTTAAATAAGGCAATGTCTAACGGACTTGGACGAAGTCGAGTATCATCACTATTACCCCCATTGACATTCGCACAGCACTGATTGAAAAGGAATTCTGCTAGTTTAATATTGTTTCTAGCTACGGCATAATGTAAACAAACATCACCAAAACGATCCTTGAAATATATAGTACAAAGTCAAAAGTATGTTCACCTTGCATCTGAAGATTCGTTGTAACTATTTATTCGCTTTGAATTTTGTGTAGTCATAGTTCTCGCGAAATACTGAATACCCAACAAGTTCCGATCTCGTGAGGTAAACTGTTTACAAGATATCAAGAATTTCATTCCATTTCAGCAAAATGTAACTAACTCATGATCCAAAGACAATGGGCATTCTGTTTTATAGTCAAAACGTAGTCATAGCTCTTTTCTATCTATACGGTATGAATTTCGAGTGCCACTGTTATTAGCTATTGAAAAGCAGCTATTTGACGATCGATACTCTCCTTTTGAGATTTGTAGTTTTCTTCCAAAAATACAGTCGATTATTCTCCAAAATTTGCCCGTTTGCATTTTTACCTTTTTCTTTGTTTTGCTTATAGATAGTTTATTTAAACATCTAATGTTTTGTTCGGGATACGACATTCGTCAAAATATTCTAATAAGAACATAACTGTTGAACTATTCTATGTTGTTCATTATACACTATTATACGTTGAAAAAAAAAGCTACTTTTCAATAACTAGTAACAGTGGTATTTGAAATCCATACCGTAAGAGAGCTATGACTACGTTTTGGCCGTACAACAGAATGCCCATTGTCTTTGGATCATGAGTTAGTAACATTTTCCTGAAATGGAATGAAATTCTTAATATCTTGTGAATCATTCAGTGAAAAAGAGGCGTGACCCTGGTATATTATGCATTTTCCAGTACGGGAGAAAACTAACCTGTTGATTAACTTGTTCATAACAAATTTCTTGATGTTGTTCATAAAAGTATTGTATACATTTCTTGGCATCTTTAAAACATGCCAGCATAAAAGGAGTAATACCTACAACTCCATAACATTAAGAACTAGAGTTATGCAGTAGAGTGGTCTTTAAGCTTACCATATTTATTCGACGTTCGAAATGCTTTCTGACAATTTTTATCGATTTTTTCCAATTGTTTCTGATTCAAATATTGCACTGTTGAATGAATTTTAACTGTTAAAGCTTTCAACATTTCTACGTCATCTCGTTCACATACGTAATGAAGGACAGTATACCCGTCCACATCTTGAGCAGATAGATCGCATTCACGCATCAACAATAGGCGAACCCAAACGTATGCATATGAACGCAATACAATAACATGCAATATCGTCTATTAAAAAATAATAAAGTGTTTCAATCACTAACATATTCATTTTTATTTACCTGTTGACGATCATTACGCATTTTAACAGCCTTTTGATAATTATTCATCATAACATTTTTAAATGAATCAAAATCATCATGTTCAACAATGACAAAAATGTTTCTGCAATAAAAATAAATGAATTTGATACAGTTATTGATTGTGTATTAGAAGAAAGAGAGAATACCCTTCTTTACGACTACCGTTTACTAACAGTGTCATGCCAACTTCAATACCCTGATATCTGCTCTACAGCTGATATCATCAACCATATCTTTTCTACCGGGTTCGGCAGAGAAGATGAGCTTCTCAGTATTTTCTATTTTTCTCATATTCCTTTGAGACTTTAAGATTAATGTTGTTTTAGATGATGCGTCGAGAAATACTCTGCAAAATCATACCTTAACTTTAATTTCGGAACTTCAATCAAGAAAACCACGCAAATTAGATGAAACAAATGAAAAGTTTCTAAACTCAAGAACAATTTCCTGTGTTAATGATTTGAAAGTAAGGAAATTGAATCAGCCATTTTGTATCCCTAACTTCGCTCTATCTTTTAGCTACACTTCACCGTTTTCCATGGAGATATAATAATTTTTCTATCAATTGTCTCGCATTTTTTCATTAATTTTTTAAATTCTACGTATGGTGGTACATTAGGTAAAACTCCCATAACTCCATCAAAACAACAGATTTTTTGATCGGATTTTTTTAATCAGAAATGATTGCTTTTCTCAACCCAACTGAAACATCAAAACTTCGGTCATGTTTTCCATTTCTTACTTGAGTACATTGTCGGAAGCGGAGATTGTCAATTTTTGAAACTTCGTTCTCGGCTACATCATCTGCACTGAAAAACTTCTTTTTATAAACCAAAAGAGAAAGCGCATTCGAAAGTACAGAAAGAACTACGTTCTTACTTTGCTACAGTTCTTTACGGAAATAATAGCAGAAGAAAAAAGTTCAAGTCGAAAAAACTACCAAATTCACAACTTTTCATTTGTTTCTCCTTTCGTCTAATTTGCGTAGTTTTCTTGACCGAAGTTCCGAAATTAAAGTTTAGGTATGCTTTTGCAGAGGATTTCCCTGGCATCTTTTAGGGGGGAGGCGCAGTGGTCCGCCACCCGTTTTTTTCCACCAGTTTGTAGAGGACACTTCGGAGTATATGTCTCAACAAAGCTTTCGGTTCCCAGATTTATAGTTCTTGATAAAAAAACTTTTCAAGTTTTTTCGGGTTTTTTGCCCTATTTTTAAAATTTCAATAAAACAAACTTCATTTTTTGAAATGAAGAGTTGATTCTAGCGTAGTTCGATAGAGAACAATCTTGTATAGGGAGAAATACTTTTCATGGTCTCGAATGAAGTTTCACGCAGAAATTAAACGTTCACCTTCCCGAAGAAACTTCAGAGCTAAAAGTATTTTTCACATCCCTTTTCAGCTAGCATTGTGAAGCAAAACTCTGGATACAAGGTACAAAAGTTGTTCAAAATCGAATTCTGCAGTCCCTAACGAGAGGTTTTTTTAAAATTGTCGTTTTTGATTTTATTTTACGGTTTTTAAAGTTTTAAAATTTCGTATTTTGCAATTTAAAAATCACAAAAAGACAATTTTAAAATACCTTTCGTTAGGGACTGCAGAATTTGATTCTAAACAACTTTTGTACCTTGTACTAAGAGTTTTGCTTCAAAATGCTTGCTTCGGGCGAAATAGCCGTAAGGTCAGGTGAAAAAATCTTTGCTGAGCCAAAAACCAGCGATATTTTCAAATTTTGCATTTTTTATTCAAGTCTTCCCAGTTTATAGAGGATACTTCGAAGTATATGTCCTGAAGTTTTTTCGGCTTACTGATATCATCTGACTGAGAAAAAAATTAATTACTTAAAAAAATGTTGTTAAATGTTTGAGTATGGGGTTGTTATAAAACATTTCTAATAAATACATTAAATTCTAAAACTTTTAAGCTAGCCAGTCTTGTAGTGCGTGAAATTCTGTATCAGGTGAGGTATTGCTTAAATTCTTTTGTTGAGTCCTTATTTTGCAAATGGGACTATAAGCTAGTAGAGTAGGCTAAATTAACGTTAATTAGTGCTAAGTAGTCAATAACAGGAAAGAAAGAACAAAAATTTTTACATATTTTCTCGTAGTAAATATTCTCCACACATTTCTCTATCAATCTAGGCAAGAAACTAGTTTTTTTGATGAATGGAGAATGGAGAGGAATTTTTTTAATAATAGTCCCTTGTTCAAAAACTTAACAATATTTTTTTAAGTAATTAATTTTTTTCTCAGCCAGATAATGTCAGTAAGCCGAGAAAACTTCAGGGCATATACTACAAAGTATCCTCTACAAACTGGGAACGTTGAAGGAAAATCTAAATGGAGGGAAGCTCCCGTTAAAGAAAATATTAAACTTATGGTCCTAAAGGAACATGAGAAAAGTAGAAAATATTGAAGCATCTTCTCTGCCACATCCCATAGTTATCAGCTGCAACTAAGATGAGAAGATTATTGTTACGCTGAGTTTTTAATCCCAATTGGCAAGCACCCCAACACTCACTGGCCACATACTATCTTTCTGGAAGTTACGAAGACTAACCAGAGAATATACGGTGTCATCTGAGATATCAATACATAAGTAACTTGCTCCAGGTTATTACACTACTCGCCGATGCTAAGGTTCGAACATAGCATGTTTGAAGTACGTGACAAAAAATATAATTACTAATCTATGCTGTCTTTTCACGTGTTTCCTGTGTATTGAATAAATACAAGTAGATTAATCGCACAGCGTATAAGAATTACATCCAGATTCCACAACATCTACAAACATAAAAACTATTCCTCTTCGGCCGGTGATCGTCTTTGAAATGCCGTTCGAATATTCCCTTTCCCAGAAGAACGAGTAGTATGAAATATAGGGACGTACATGTTTACAATCATGGGCCAGCTCATTAAGAGCAGAGAGAATGAGTGATTGATCAACTTAATGGACTGGCTAATGGCGAAGGAGCTCACAGGTATTGGCAAGACGGAACGCAATACCAAACCGGTGAAGTCTTCTTCACATTATTTCGAATGGTAAATGAGGAGATGTAAATGATATATCTCACCCAGGCGTAGAATGCCATGCAAATTTATTGAAGTTACTCCGCACGCTAACATAACCGAAAAGAGAAATAATCTGCTGAAGATGTAAAGTTTCAGCAGATTATTTCTCTTTTCGGTTATGTTAGCGTGCGGAGTAACTTCAATAAATTTGCATGGTATTCTACGCCTGGGTGAGATATATCACTAACAATAGGTGCGACAAGGAATAACATCATGAGCTTTGATCGAAGTAAGGCGAGAACTACAGCGCTTAGGTCGTACTTAAACTGAATAAGCAAAAACTTCTTAATTTTCGTGCTTCATTGTTAGTTCAAATAGTGTTTTATAGGTGGGTGTGATTGCATGCGTCTGAATGAATGATTTTGATGGAAATTAAAATGATCATTTTGAGGTTATGTATTTAACATTCTACTTTATTTTTCATGGTGAAAGCCCGCGTCTAGTCACATTTTGTCACAGTACGTTGTTATCTATGAATAAAGATAATCATAGTCCTCCATCTCCAAATAATAGTGCTTTAGCTAAAAAATAAAAATCTGTACCAAATACACCAGAAATCTGTACCAGAACACCAGAACTCTTTGTCGAAGTGACCATAATTTTATAGAATTTCGATTAAACGCTTGTCTGGATCGAAAAGACAAAATTTTACGCACTATTTATGACTATAACGTGGTGAACTGGGCGTTTGTAAATGAGCGTTTCAGAGAAATTCCTATTGACCAGCTCTTAAAAAATTATAGAAATGTTACTGAAAGAGCTAAAGCATTTGAAGAGATTTTCCTCGAACATATGCATACTTTTGTGCTCAATAAAACTATAACTATACAACCGAGGAACAAGGTTTGGTTTAGTGACAAATTACGTGTTTTGTATAAGAAGAAATGCAAGTTGTACCGTAAAAGTAAAAATTCAGTATACCACTTGGAACTCTATAGTAGTAAAGAAATTTAAAAAAGAATGTGTTTCTGCAAAAGAAGTTTACTATAAGAAAATAAACGAGAAAATTTCTGCTTCCTCGAAACACTGGTGGAGCTTAGTTAAAAACACGTTAGGTAGAGGACGTACAACGTCCATACCAGCCCTTAGGCATGCCAATAATGATATAATAGTTGATTGTCAAAAGAAAGCCGAGATATTGAATAACTACTTTGCTGAAGTGTGTACGTGGACAGGACCTATTATCGATTCGAAAATTGCTGACACTCTGCCAGAATCTGGTACTAAGATCGAAAAGTTAAGGTTGAACTACCCGTTGTTGAAACTATTCTACGGAAATTGGATCTTAGGAAAGCATGTGTGCCAGGCATTACTAATCGGATGCTAAAAAATATGATTTTTTCTATTGCTAAACCAGTCACTACATTAGTCTACGAGTCCTTTGAATCGGCCGAACATCCTAAACACTGGAAAAACGGTTTTGTCCACCCTATTTTTAAGAATGGCGACAGTCTCGATACATCTAACTATCGACCGATAACTTTGTTACCAGCCTTATCGAAAGTTTTTTCGATTTTGATGGAAATTAAAATGATCATTTTGAGGTTATGTATTTAACATCCACATTCCAGCCTGTACGATGTTCTCCTAGTCCGTAGAGTCCGTGTGGATTCCAGCTGGGAATGAAAGAGTTATATGGTAGCCTACAATCCTTTGATTCATACGATTCCACATTTCTGTATTGGTATACCGTATCACATATGTAGGTCATATATCCCACCGTGAGATCAGACATTAGCAAGAAGAGAAGATGGTGTACTATACTAATATCTACCGATAATCAGATGATGGGAACAAGATGCTTCCAGTTGTTGAATCATGATATGGAATTATTTGGCACTTTGTTGACATGCTTTGTAACTAAAATTAGAGTATTAATATTTCTTTGACAAACACGCAACTGTTGGACCTACCAGACTGGTATTGTTCAATG